GTACCATGGTTATTAATGGATTTTAAAAAAGATTAGATATGGATTTCAACAGTTAACAATACCTTGAAAAATCAACAAATATACCTAGAATAAAGATAAAAAAATTAAATGGTACACTTAAAGTATTGTTTAAGCATCATATTTTTGTAAAAACATATTTTAATACTAGTTGGCTAGAGTATAAATCAAATAAAACATAACATAAAAAGCGTGTTAAAAATAAAATACCCATATAAAAAAAAGGTAGTTTATTCTGTATAAACTAAAGATATTACTATCTAAATTTTGAATAAATTGCACTTTTTTTGTTTTTTTTTCTAATAGTCTGTTTTACAGGTATATTAGATATTATTATTTTAGTTAACACAGTCATCATACTGCCATATTATGCCTATTATGCAAAACTTCGCAAATGAAGAAATAATTTAATTTTCTATTGATATTAAACTAATAATTTCAAGAAATTTTGTTATTATTTACGTCTACAAAATATTCGTATACAATGTAAAAAAAAGTTACGTACTTCGGAACTAGTTTAATGATACTATCGAATTTGCTGCTTTAAGAGATATTTTAGTTTTTTCATTGTATTTAATGCTATTATTATGGAAAAAATATTAGCCAAAAATTAAAACATTAATAGATCATTTTAAAACTGAAATAAAGTACATTGTTTTCCATTTAAAATAATAATTGTTTTATCTACAGGGAAATAGGGGATATTCAAAAGATTTTTAAAATCTATGGAGTTTTTTATAACTAGTTTATTTTTCTCTAACGTAAATTGAAACATACTAAATCATACTAAATGTTATTTTAAATATTGTATGCCCTGTTAAATGTGGACATTTTTTTAAATCTAACACAAAAAGTTTTATACAATTGGAAAAAAGTTTATCTTAAAAGCAAGTGCAATAATATAGATTTTATTACATTTTTAATTACACTTTTGCTCTAAATTGAAATTTAAGAGTAGGTACCTACTTTACTCTTACAAATAATTGTCTTTTATTTTCCCTGTACCTAATGCAGAACATCATACCAAGAATAATTCTATCGTGAAATACTTTTTTCCTATTAGTTTATAACTTGTTGTGACACGCTGTATAACTTTTGAATTATTTAAGATAATGAAATAGGGTTTCCACCAATCTTCTCCTAACTTTTAAAATATTGGTATATTCCGTTTAGCAAGCACTTTATATTATAACATATTTTCGGAAATAGGACAACTCTATATGATTTCAAATGGAACACCCAGTATATTTTTCTCAATTCGAAAATTCACAGCTTTCTCTTTCCGTAAGTGCCGTAATTTGTCATGGTTATACAAAATGGCTTTATAAGTCCTTAAAATAACTATTACTAAATTTCATTGAAATGCTACGAAAAAAATAAGATTCTTCACAAAGTAGACTATGGAAATTATAATAGCTATTTATGCAACCAGTTATGAAATATTCCAATTTTGACTAGGTTATTTATAAAATTGTGTTTCGGTAAAACATTACTGACATCTAGGCAACCAATATTACTTTCTTGTATTGTTAATTGCATATGTGTAACTTCATTCATTATATTGACAAATAGAAAATTATATTAATATTGTAGCGTTTGTTTATTTTAAATACAGTTTTTTGTTAATAATTTCTTTGAACACTTATTTATTTTAAAACAATATTATTATAATTTATATATATTTTGAATGTCTTTAAATTGTTCACTATTTATCTTCACACGACTGACTGCTCCGTGTTCCTCCACCAACATTTATATACACATTGAAAATTCTGGTGATGCTCTAGAATGCTCCCGCCAAAACTAGAAACATTATCACGTTCGTTCTGGAAAGTAATCGAAAGCGCCTTTACCATAGTCGTCACATGTTTGGTCTTAGGGGATTTAATTATGTTTGATAATCGGACACGTTGAGCCTCAAAGGCCAAATAAGACAGAGAGAAACTTGGCATGACAGAGCATGACTGAATAATGAATTCGCATTACAATATATTTTCAACCACTTGTAGTGTGTTCATACTGCTTGTTAAAGTTATTTACGAGTAGTTTTCAAGAAAGTGGGTTATTGTGTCATGTATTGTTTTAATTATTTTGTGCAGATTTAGAATAAAAAATAAGGTCCAAAACAACATTATTACTAGGTTGTATTATATTTATATTATTATGAACTTTCAATAATAATATATATACATTGTGTCCCATTAATGCGTAATTGTTCAATATTTCAATTTGTCTTATTAACCTTAAACAAGTTTTAAATAAAAGGTATATGGATTTAAAAATACGTATTTTACAAATATTTTTTGATGTACAGGGTTTTGCGTCTGGCTAATAAAAATGTATATTTTTTAAATATAACACCCTGTATTTTATTTAAGTTCTAGAATGGTTTGGTAATACTGTATTTAACCATAGAATTTTTTAAAAAATATTACAGGGTTGCCAAACAAATAATTTGTTTATGAAATTAGAGAATGATGCAGACACCAAATTAAATTTTCATAATTTAGGTAGGTTTACAACGATTTCAAAATTGTTTAAATTACAGACCTACAAGACACTAACCTAACTAATATTGGGGCTAGAACGGGTTTATTTTACACAGAATGTCTTGAAACATGACCTAAATATGGCTAATTTTAAGTTCAATTTATCCAATTTCAAATGCAACAACCTGTATATTATTTTAGCATAAAAATCCTTATAAATGTACCTATCCAACGAAACCAACATGTTAGCCAATAACACACATACAGTGTGTCCCATCAGTACGTAATTGATCGATAGCGGTTTTATTATTGGAAATACGAAAAAAAAAAAAATTATATAAAAGTTGTATGACCATGTTTAATAAATATTCTTAAATATACATTTTTAAAGCAGATAGTGTGACATATATTTGATTGTTTTCACATCGTCAAACAATTTTAAAAGACTTCATTTATTTGCTATGTTGTATATAGGATGTGTCAAAATGCGGGGTAACGATTTTCTCAATTTTTTAAATGGAATACCCTATATGTTATACCACTAATTAATTAATACAGGGTATTCTATTTAAAAAAATTAAAAAAATCGTACCTCACGTTTTGACACACCCTATATACAACGCAGCAAGGTGTTTTGATTCAAAAAAGTATAGATTTGGTCAGCACCTCGTTAATGGACCACCCTGTTTATTTAGGAATAATTGTTAAATATGGTCATACAATTTAATTATTAAAAATTTCTTTGCATTTCTAATAATAAAACAGCTATCGATCAATTACGCACTGATGGGACACCCTGTACATGTGTTATTAGCTAACATATTGGTTTTGTTGTATAGGCAAATTTATAAGGAATATTAAGATAATATACAGGGTGTTGTATTTGAAAAAAATTAGTAAATTGAACTTAAAATTAGCTATATTTAAGACATGTTTCGTTAGCTTTGTATCTTATAAAGCTGTATATTAAACAATTTTGAAATGTAAAACGACCCAAATTTGGGGTCAGCATCATTCTCTAATTTCAAAAAAAAAAATTAATTGCTTGACAACACTGTAATATTTTTTAAAAACATTCCAGAGTTAAATACAATATTACCAAACCATTCTAAAAATAAAATAAAATACAGGGAGTTCTATTTAAAAAACATACATTTTTATTTGGCAGGCAAAAACGCAACACCCTGTATAACTATATAACTCTTAATTGAAACTTGTTTTTATGTCTATAAAACAAATTGAAATATTGAACAATTACGCACTAATAGGACACTATGTATTGATTTTAAATCCAAACAAAGTTTATTTTTATTTCTTTTTGCAACTGCTGACAATGAATTTTCGTGACCAGTTTCATAATGTTCAATATTATGCAACTGGATGTGTAAAGTAGATAATTTTGACACTTGCTGCGATTACGAAAAATGTCACTACCTACGTCAAAATTAGAAGAAATACCATTACAGTTAAATTACAAATTAGATGCCAATATTCAAGATGTATATATGAAAATAGCTATCTTACAAATCTTTCTGGTTGGCAAGAACAACGACGTATTTAAAAAAAATCGATTTTACAGTATGACGTTTTAATTGCATATTTCAAAATGTAATTTATTTAATCTACTAATTAAATTATAATTAAAATACATAAATATTTAAAAAAAATTATAGAAAAGACTCCCTTCAGACATCGGTCATTATTCCTGAGATAATGAATTATAAAAAAGCAACTTATGTCAATGTTGTCTAAATGTAAAATAATTGGACCTCGCCAAAATAAACGAAATACATACATTAATTATAAAATATTTTATAAAAAAAAAAAAATAGTCTAAATTAAACTTTAAAACAAAAGACGAAGAAAAGTCTTCGAACTAAGACAATATTCTTGAAAAAATTGCATGAATTATGTGGTATAACATTAAGAGCGTCTTTGTTTCTGTCAATAGAACTTTCACATTAAAGGTTTAATTTAAATGAGCCAATATTCATGATATACATTAGAATAATAGACGTTCTTGTCTGTTTGCCAACAATTCGGCATTCCGTCATTTTTCATTATAAAACGTCGGTATTCTCGAAAACCAGCGAAATTGTTTAACAGGACATATTAAACATGCAGTATTCAATTTTAAGGAATTATAAAATCCTAATAATCATGAAAAAGGTAACAGGACACATTTAACATGCAATATTAAATTTTAAGAGCATTAAAAACCATCCAATAACCGTGACAATTTCGGAAAGAAAGCTATATCGAAAGAAAAAAGATATATATAGGTTAAGAAAAAAAATAAGAAAGCAATTCATTAACGGGATACCAGGTATAAAAACTTCAGTGCCATCAAGTTGAAATTATCAGTAATTACTTAAAAATTTTACATTTTAATTATACCCTTTTTAGATATTATGATCTTCCCGTAGTCCTGCATAAGATGTGAACGTAACAATCGCAGGATGTTATATATTTTTCTTTTTTTGATTTTTCTAGGCAAATGTTTCCCCAAATGAAGTTTCGAGTTTCAGGTTTAGACCTGAAAGCGAAATACATTCTCCTGTTGGACATTGTGGCGGCAGACGACTACCGATACAAATTCCACAACAGGTGATTATTACAAAATAACGTCATTTTCTGACATCTCGACATTGTTTCAGGCGCATGTTTCCTGCTTACAAAGTACGCGTTTCGGGATTAGACAAAAAATCCAAATATATCCTTCTAATGGACATCGTCGCTGCTGATGATTGTAGATATAAATTCCATAACAGGTTAGAAACAAAAATAAATAATAAAAACGTATTTTTTGTTTGAAACAAAAAACTTAAATCGTAATTCACCAAATCCGTACCGAAAATACAACCAACATATAATTAAAACTAAATAAATAACAGTAAAAATATATTTTGTTAGATCAAAATCAGCAGCTATTATTACGAAAAATTCAAAAACTAGAAGGGATTGTTTTGAAAATTTCTTGTTAAGTTTTTCCCAACCACCGTTTTTTACTTACAGGGGTTCTAAATTTTATAATTCATCACAGAATAGTTTTCTACAAATATTATTAAATTATATAGGTAAACTCGTTTGTTTTTGGGGTCAAAAAAGTCAATAGCTAAATAAAACACCACAAGAATTGGGTTGATTCGTTCCATGATATCTTAACCCATAATTTCGACTCCCAGACTCCTTTAAGTCCCGTTTTACTTACGCTTTCGTTTGCTTCCTTCTTTCACTTCTAAATCTTCTGATACGTAAGAATTCCTATTTTTTCTCTCTTATTTTCAAGTCTAATACGTCAGATATTATACTTATCTGTAAGTTTCTTTAGAAATGTTTTCCTTCCTTTAAAGTCCCTATTTGATTTTTCCCTGATTTTCATTTCCTTTAAGTGTCTTTTTAGAAATTCTTTACTTCCTTTAGGTCTGGTTTTACTTACCTCCTCTTTTGCTTCTTTTAAGTCCTTCTTTGCTTTCTTTAAGTTCTTTTCTACTTTTTTTAAGTCCCCTCTTTATTCTTTTCCCGATTCTCGCTTTCTTTAAGAATCCATTTTTCCATAAAATACTCCTTTACTTCCTTTAGTCTTGGTTTATTTATGTTCTCTTTTACTTCTAAATCCTCTGATTCGTGAGATAAGCTCTATTTGACCTCTTTTTCTTCCAAGTTTTCTAATTCTATTACACTTCTTTGAGTCCTCCTTTACTTCCTTTAAATCCCCATTTAAATTTTTTCCTGATATCCTTTTTATATCCATTACTTCATTTAAGTTTCGTTTTACTCACGTCCTCTTTTGCTTCATTTAAGTTCTCTTTTACTTTTGATCCGTGCGTTATGTTTGTCTTCTTTTACTTCTAAGTCATCTAATACGTTAGATAAATCATCCTATTTTACTAAGTCGTTCTCTGCTTTTTTTAAGTTTTCTTCCACTTCCTTTATCTTTTACTTCCTTTAATTTCCCATTTGCCTCTCTAGCTTCACTCGACCAAAGGCAATTCATTCTTTGTCGTTCTCAAGAATATTTACCAATCCACAAGGTGATATGTTTTTATCTTTATAACTAATCTTACCCACTCTCTAGGAACGTTTTTATTTGAGTGCCATATTTTCTGGCATAAATTTTCTCTAATTTCACATTTTTATTTTCTATAGTTTTTGACAGCTAAATTCTTTTCTTTTTTATCTTAAATTTTGGAACAAATAGTGTAACCTTGGGACTATAGGTTGAACTGTGTATTTCATATATTTAGTACAGATAGAATGATTAAGCGACAGCACAATTTCAATGTACCTATACCCATAATTTTGTAGCCTCTCAGTGGGGTGATTACACCGTCTTGTACCCTTATGGAATATCGGCAATATCCCATACTTCTTTCTCTGGAATAAGGGAGCTCTATGACGCTTGCTAAAGGAATTTTTTCATTATTAGTTACGATTTCAGATGTTTTTTTCAGTTTGTAACGTCCATTTTAAAATTATCAGATTCTTTAAATAATGTGACCAAACCGTTGATGATTTCCATCCTTATTCCTTGAAATTTTGTTTAGTTTATTACTGCTCCACCTGACCTATTAGCTAACAAATCGTAATTCTTCATTAAATTCTGATATTACTATTATCTTGAACGTATAAACTCAATAAAAAAGTAATTTTTCAAATTATACACTCAATTTAATTTGTTTTGCCCGTTTTGGATAGTTTACTGTTTTAATCCTTCTCTATCCAGCTTTCAGGTACTAACCTAAATAATGTTTGGTAAATTTTAGTTATTTACTTTATTTTCATCTAATAGGTTACCCTTTCTGAAACCATTGTATTCACAATTAAGTAGATGTTTCCACCAGAGAGTGGAAGTGCTTGGTTTGAAACTTTAAGCAGTTTAAGTGTTTTTCTTATCCGTTCGAACAAAGGTATATTTATTCCAAACACAGGTTCATGTTCTGTAAACTTACTTATGATCCTGAAGTTTATCCTCATAAATAGTCTTCATTCTGGAACCATTGTAATCTTAATTAAGCAGTTGTTTCAATCAGAGAATAACTTTCCTAAGTTGTATATTTGGGACATTAAAGTAGTAGTGCTTGGTTTGTAACCTTGCTTGTATCCTCCAAATTGTTGCAAATAAATAACGTGTTCTTCTTATCCCTTCGAAAAATGGTGTTTAATCCAAACAACATAGATTCATGTCCTCCTTTGATGAGTTCATCAAACCATTTCCACAATAGATTTCAAAATGTACAAACTTTTTCAGAAGTTTTAATAGTGTCTGTATGATGTACGATTTTTTCAAATTTGATTTTGTTGGAATGTGGCAACCCTTCGGGATTTTAATTTAATTTTTGACAAGTAGACTCTTAGACAAAGTTATTAGCCTGTGTTTTTTTATCAGATACAGTAGCTTCAAATTCCACAAACAAAAAACCTTTAAAAACTGTAAATATATCTATGAAATCGTGGTTACTTTTTTCTCTGTATTAAAAAAACATATCCGTTAAATTTATAATATCCACGCTTCTATTGGTTGTAATTTGATACTGATTTGTGGACTGCGACTTAACTATTACATTCGGGGTGTTTTTCCACAAAAAAAAACCACCCTTACTGTGTGATAAAACAAGCACGAAGCATGCGTTTTGAAATTAAGTAGAACCTGAAGAAATAACAAAATTAAGTAAGTTCGTCATAATGTATTTCGAAAAAAAAAAAGCTATCTAGTAGATAACCATAATTACAAAGTTACACACATTTTTATCAAGTTTTCTTCGACTAATGAGTGTGAGTATGCGATGAAAATTGATGCAAGTATTTATTTGTTGAAACTATTCATTTGCTAACCATTTTCGTTATTTGAATCGTCAAGAATTTTGTTTCATTGCGTATAATATTGTTATTTCTTCACTTGAAAACATTCAATTCCATATATATTATCTTGTAGATTAGTAGCAATTAGAATTAATGTTATGCATGTAAAAGGATGAATATGTTCGATCCGTCTTTTCGACATATTAGTCCCAGTGGTATTACAAAATTTTTAATATAAACAGTATTGAAATTGATTTTGGAAGTAGAAGGTATAAAGCATTTTTTTCGCAGATTACTTGAACTGAAAGTCATTAATTTCTCATTCTAAATTTTTTCTAAAAAGATTGTGTAAATGTGTTAAAAAGTGTAGCAATTACACAATGAAAATACTATTACAAAGATTACTGAAATAGTTATTTGTTTCACTAGTACTAAAATTAACATTAATAGGACGAATGTGAAAGTTACAATTTCAATATTTATGGAACCAGTTACAAAATGCCTTATTTTATGCAACGAGCTAATGTTTGCGGAACGAGCAGAGCGAGATCCCGCAACATGAACGAGTTACATAAAACGGCATTTCGTAATATGTTACATACAATATTTTTTCTAATTTTGACTAAATTATTCATACAATTGTGTTTTGATAAAAAATTAATGACATCTAGGCAACCAGTATTACTACCTTCTTGTACTGTTAGTTACATATGATTAACTTCATTCTTTTATTGACAAATAGAAAATAATATTAAATTATTCTCAATAACTTATTGCAGTGTGTTTATATTGTTTGTTAAAGTTAATTAGTTTCCTAGAAAGTGGGTTATTTTGTCGTGTATTATAATTTAATTATTTTGTGCTGATTTCAAATTGAAAATAAGGACCAAAACAACATTAGTACCAGGTTGTAAGTTTAATTAGATTCTATTTTTGTAAACTTTGAATAATATTGTAAATAATTGATTATAAAAACAAAAAAATGTTAATTTTTCATTTCTTTCCGCAACTGGTGACATAATGAATTTTTCAAAACCAGTTTCATAATGTTTAACATTATGCAACTGTTTGCGTAAAGTAGATCATTTTGAAACTTGCTGCGATTACAAAAAATGTCACTTTATATGTCAAAATTAGAAAAACATTTTTTCCAATCAGAATTACTGTCACACTAACTTTTGACGTATCGCATTAAGGGGTATCTACTTTTACTTATGGGACATCTGTTATAAAACAAAAGAAAACCATAGGAAAAATTAGGAAAAACAAAAAAACATTTCGAGACTGGCTCGAGAATCTATTGACAATAGTGGATAAGTTTTGGAAACCTATTTAGGTTGAATTTCTATTAATGATTTTTCAGATTTTCGTATTAGTACATTTTTATCCTAACTTATAGGACTTGGATGAAAAAAAAAACTGAAAAACTGCAAAAATATATCGAAAAAAAAAAATGAAAATTACAAAAAAATATTTTTTTAAAAAGTGGTCGATAGGGTCAGTATAATGAATCGAGAAATGAACGACTCACATCATTTTTTTGGAATTGTACAAAAAAAGTAACTATTTTTGTTTTTGTACAGTTGCCATAGTGGCAGTTATACAGTGTGTTATAAATTTGGATTTTTTTTTTAATTACGATTAGAAACAAACATCTGCTTATTTAAAAATTTCAAATAGCCCATGTCAGTTAGTTTTCTGTCAAATTCGCATATTAAAAAAAGTATTTTTGAATGATTTTTCAAAAAAATATCTGACAGACTGATGCACTATCTAGCCAACCTTAGTATGGACTATTTAAAGTTTGTAGAAAAGCCGAAATAAATGCCCTATGACGTTTGTTTCCAATAGTAATATTAAAAGAATTCCCATATGGATCCAACTTTATGGAAAATACAGTATACTGTGAATACAATAGAATGTTTTAGTTTATAAATACGATTAGATTGTTACTGTTTTTGGATTGTAGGCTTTAATCCAGATTTGTCTTAATTTGCAAATATTTAATTCTAACTGTAAGTATATTATAATTAAATAAAATTTTTACGAATAGAGTTCCATTTTGAAATTTATAACTGGCGCAGTCAGTAGGATAATCATTTGCAAAACAATTTGGTCCTTGATTATTTTTTTAGTTAGAATTTTGATTCATATTATTAGCAGTTCTATTTTCATATAATAATTATTAGTTATTTGAAAATTTTGCAAATGTCTAGTATTTTATTTAATTTGAATTATATTTTGAAATATTTATTTTATATGAATTATTATTAAACACAAGATTTCAAATTTTTCAAATTCAGAAACATAAGCAACAGCTTCTTCTTATAGAGTGGTCTTTTAGGATCCATTTTATTTTTACCTTCCTGTACATCCTGCAACGATGTATTTAAAGCCGTTTTAACACAATGATTACTTTGAATTTGATTTTCCATTATTACTTATTCGTTGAATTACACTACTTGTAAATAGTGGTAATCTAATGGTAAAATGTATCAAATATTCAGTTAATTCTTGTACCAAGCAATCTAAATCTCTTCTAAGAGAAACAGTGTAACAAAACATTTTTTAAATCGATACAATTAATTTCCTACCTTTATCTCAGCTTTAACCACTAATTTTTCTTGGATACATAAATGTGCATCCAATTCCGGGCCACTATAAGATTTATAGGTATCAAATAAACGTTCGCATCTATTTGTACATTTATTTAGTGAATTACTATCTACAACTAAACGTTTTTATATCGATTTTGGTATTAAAAAGGTCGCAATATGTTCAACTATTGAATTAAATTACTTCCTACACTACCTGAATTATTATCTTAACGATATATTTGCAAATTGTTGGAACAAAGTATCAATAACTCATAAAATTATTTTCAAAATACAAAATAGTTTCAAAATTATATAGTAATATATTTAAATACCTCTAAATTATGGCAGAAAGAAAATAGTGTTCTTTAATAATTTTCTGTTTGGACAGGAGCCACAGAATAGATGATGTCCACCGATTCTTCTTTAAAAAACACAAGTCACGAAAAGTTAATATCCGACGAAAGCGTGGATCCTACTGACTGCGCCAGTTATAAATTATTTAATTATAATATACAGTTACGATTAAATAATGGCAAATTAAGACAACTCTGGATTAAAACCTAGAAACACAAGCTACCTTAAAATTTATAAAATAAAAATGTAGATTGAGCAAATATAATATAAATAAAACATTAGAGAGTCTATTGTGATCACAATATATAATTTGGCCTTCATTTTTGTATGAAATAATGACGTCTTACTCATTGTGGTAGAAATAGTATATATCTTGGTTAACTACACTGTTCAACAATTAAACTAGATAATTCTAAAATAACTTTATAAGTTATTCCTCTTTTCATTTTCTACCTTATTCTACCTTATTTTTAAGTTATTTGTCCACGGAAGATTATTTCAAATATTAAAAAAAAAAAAAATAGAATTTGTTGAGCGGTGTAGTTATAAAACTATGGTCATTTCAAGACTGTTTATATGTAAATAAATTTGACGAAATCTAATAGGATTTCATTAAGTATTCTTAAATTAGCAAGCATGCTTTCTGCCGATATTTTGGTTAGTTTTTAATGATTTTAAGGTCTTTTCATTGCAGCAGGTGGATGGTGGCAGGAAAGGCCGATCCAGAAATGCCAAAAAGGATGTACATTCATCCAGACAGTCCTTCAACGGGAGAACAATGGATGCAGAAAGTAGTTTCATTTCACAAATTAAAGTTAACAAACAACATCTCCGACAAGCATGGATTCGTAAGTGTTAGTTTTTTAATTTTTTTAACATTATTATATCTAAACAGTTTATTTCGATAACTAATATATAATTGTTACCTTGTAACAAATTATAGAATTATAGGAAGATAATATATTTATTGAAAATAACTGTTTACAGGAGAGATAGAATCTTATTAAAAAAAATATACAATTTAGATGCATTAAAAGATAAACAGCTAATCTGCAAGAAAATCTTCAAAGTTAATGACAATTAGATCTTTTTTCTTAGTTAGGGAACGTCAATTTTACCAATCTTTATCAATGTGCAATGACCTTGAAATAAGAAAGCATGAGAAAGGCTAAATTTATTAAGATATTCTACAAGACAATTTGGATTTGTTATACTCTTTAAAATATTTATTTAAAATAGTTTTAACTTTTGCCCTTCGACGCATATTTGAAATCGAAGAATTAGTATAAACGCGAATGTGTTAAATTATGCAAATAACGTGGATATTGCAACAATTTGAAGCGCAAAAATAGTATAAAGTAACAAGAAATAAATTTAAATGAAACAAAAGTTGATATTTACACCACCTATGTTTATATCATCATACTATATACGAAGTTTTTAACACAATTTTTTTAGTAAGATGAAACGTAATTAATTATATATGCTATTGCAAACCATTATTAATAATAATAAACTATTTAATTTCTTACTTTTACGCTAAATACATAGAACAAAAGTATTTCAAAAATTCACCTCTGCTATAGACACATAATGCATCCCAGATAACATAATAAATCTCTAAGGTGAAAATAAACAAAAAAATTCACTAGCGTCGATCTGGATTAGAACAAGCCATATCTATATTTCCGTGTAAGTGCCTTGACCACTCAATTACCACGGCAACAAGCGCCCTGATTTCAAAAATTGTACGTATGAATTTGTCTAATAATCGACCTCATATGTAATATTTATTCGAGGTTCACGTACCATTATAGTTTATTATAATTCATGACTGGTTGTCGCAAAATGCTTTTAGCTTGTGCTAAAGTCTTTTGACATCCCATTCGTTGCTTTTCATAAAACTGCAATTTCGCTTCTTTATGTCCTTTCATTGGCAATGATTTCCTTATAATTTCACAATTTGGGCTAGTTCTCTCTCTCTCTTCGTTCTTTTACAGCTTTCTCTGTACTGAAATCTTACCTTGTTGACACTAGGAATATTATGTTTGATTTGATGTATATATCTATACAATATGAGCAAGGCTTTCATAATTTTTTTCTGAAAAAGAAAACTGCAGAATAACTTCTCTGAAATTCTTAATACTCTGCGGATACAAAAATATCTGGAGATGCTACGGCTCCATTTCAGAGACAGGGATTTTACGTAGGCACTACTACCACTATTGCACTGTGTTCCTATAGAATAGTCGAAAACATAGATCACTTTCAGTTAACTTTAAATCTGGCATGGAGATAGATCTTCGGACTACTATGTAAAAAATGCAAGCAAATGTTAACATTTTCAAGACCATGGGTAGGTAGTTATTGCCACATTATCAGCAGCAACACTCTTTGGGTCTGTGATTTCCCAGTGTTTTATATTTATTCTGTGGTGAACCTATATCTTTGTTTTTCAAGAAACTTTTTCTGAAATGATTAAAACCCACTATAGACAATAAAAATATAACACCAGACAACCAATTTGTATTTAAAAACAAGGCAAGCTCACAGAATAACTAATGAAATAGAGAATAGAGAAAACACTGAAATAAAAGAAGATCTGCACTTCACTCTTTCTAGACAATGCATGCTTTCGATAAAGTATGATTAGAATAGATGACCTTGAATATAAAATTAATAAACCTTTGCCTGAGCAATATTGCGACTTTTTGGTGTGGCAGTAAAAATCACATAATACGTTTTAAGAACAATAGTAACAATAGTAAACGCACCTGGCTATGTGAGGAACTCAAGATCTCAACAGATATCTGAGAATTAAAACAGTCGAAAAAGGGAGGAAAAACAGGGCAAAAAAGTACGAAAAAAGATTGCATGACCACATCGATATTGAAGTTCTACAGCTCCTGGACAACCAATACCTACCAACAAGGCTCAAAAGTAGAGCCCAGTGCAAGTGTGCAGTGTTTAGTTCCAAAGTTGGAAGACCAGAACAGAAAGGAGTGAACTTTAAGTTTAAAGCTTGTTAAGTTTACTCAAGTATATAATAAAGACACACATTGCTGGTTGGATGAAATATAGATAGGTGCAATACAAACAAAAACTTATGTTGTGGCAGTATCCTTTCTTAACTGATAAATTCGGGGTAACAGACGTCGGCACTTTTTAGTCGACATCATTTATACCTTTTGAACTAATAAACTTTATTGAAACACAAATTAAAAACACTCTTCTGGTCAAGATACAATCCTAATCTTTTTGTTTTAAAAATGGTTTGCCAGTGTTATAGAGCACTTAGTCTTTGATTTGACTTACTCAGTCTTTGACTTATTTAGTTTTTGACTTACTTAGTCAATTTATCAAATTTTCCAGTATATTAACAGTTCCATGAATTGTCATTGCAAGATCATTGCAAGAGCTTTCGCCATCTATCAGTATACATACCAAGTAACAAAAACTGGATTTTATTTCAAAGGAAACTGTAAATTTGTCGTTTAGGCAATGTGTCTAGGGTTACGGAGTCACCATAAATTTCTCCTTTCTACCTTGTCTTCTTTTATTGTTGTATGGACTTAGTTTTTCACTATCTATCCAGTGCCAGTATTTCATTTTTAAAAAAGTTTTTATTTTACAAAATTTTAAGTCACAAACCATCAGTCCATAAATATTTTTTTACTCAAATACCATAAGAGATACATGTTTTTGCAACAAATAAAAAATGCTATAAATGAGTACAGCTCTCCATAAAAAATTGAGGGAACAGGAGCGGCCCTCAAAAAAAATACGATGTCATTTATGGTAGGATTAGGGAGGTTTTTACCCTTCCATAATTTTAGTTAGTGTAATTTTTGCTTTGAAAAATGGCTCTTCAATTAAAATAATTACATACCAAATTTTATAAAATCGAACGAAGCGTTTTTGAGTTATTAAAAAAAATTAAAATTTTATTTAAAATTTGATGCTTCCTCGCAGGCAAACGAAGCACTTTGTGATATATTTTGGCACAATCGATCTATTTTGATCTCACCAACATACGTAGCTCTATGTACACGGAATTTTGGGACACCCAGTATAATCATTTGCCACAAGAGATAAAAAATCAAAGAAAACCAAAGAAAAAAACGAGGAAAAACAATGTCGACAACATATTATATAATTTGTGAATCCACTATCGTTCCGTGGTATTAGTAAATTCGTTAATGATTCCTTCATATTATATCCTGAACGTAAAAAATTATCTTTTAGCATTATTCTTTCAGCGTCTTCCAGCTTTTATAATATCGAAAGAACACTCCTCGTCTTATCTCGTCGTAACTTCTTCAGCGGTCGCAAGAATGTTAGTGGAATGTACAATTTTAGCCACATTATGACGAAACCCATCGAAGGATGCACCTAATTTAAAATTTTCAGTGACAAAAAGTCCTTTTTATCGCCACCACCGGTGGTCCGCGGTAATTAAACCACGCATTAAACTTCTATAACCAAAATACCTCACTAATTGCGCCGTCTTTATTGATTTTCGAAAAAGATAACATTTTATTTTTCAAAGATCTCGTAAAATGTGTGAAGCCAGACTGTAATCTTATTATTATTACCGGTTACTGGGTTTTTAGTGCGTCGCATCGAGAGCTCACTCAGCTTAGTAAATTGAAATTGAAATTATAATTTTACTACCGCTGATTGAAGATGAGGGGCATAGGTGGCCCCACCGGTGGGGTACCATGGGAAATTGCCACCCAAATCGTTAATTCTTATTAAAAAATCTAATACGCTAAGAGCTCAACTTTAAATTAACGTTCATAATTTAACTTACATTGTAACACCCAATCAAAACGCTGTACCACAACGGTAAGACCTGTGTTGCTAGCCTGATAAAACCCAATGATGTTATTATAGTTATATACATTGCTCACCCATATGTAAATAAGACAAACGAGTCACATTGCGCGCGCCCATATTACCTCGCAAGTGCTCATCGATCATAATCGGTCTAGGCCAAATGTTTTAAAATTAAATTTCAGAGCATTTCAATAAAATAAAAAAATAATTATCTTAACTTTGTAGTCGAATTTCCATAGAGTCAAAATATATTAGATCTAAACAATTTTGGTAATATGTAGATGTAAAACAATTTTAGTCCACTATATGAAACACAATTATTTCAATATGTACCTAATATATAACTTTAAACATGGATGTAAATAGCTTTGATAGATACCCGTATGAAACTAATTTTAGGCCACACTAGGTAAATGGAAACTTATCTTATTCTTATTAAAATGTATTCCCGCCATTTTAAAATGAGATACGCAAAAATTTGACTCATGTTTAACTTTTTGCTAATTTTACTAGAAGCTACTAGATTTATAACATTTTAAAGTTTGTTGTAATCGCTTTTGACAATTGACTTAAAGTTTTTTTCTGAGATGAATTTGATTTATTCGGCGATTTAAAATGAAATAAATGGAAACGCATTGAGATTTTTAATAGAATAATTTTGTGATTGTGGAAATCTGCCAATATGGAAAATATTTTTACTCAAGTGTTTACCCCAATCGAATGTTTAATTGTTTTTAGAAATTTTTAGTTATTTTTAATGTCAAGAAGATGCCAAAATATTTTAAGGTTAATGTCAAAAATAAAATAGCAATAGTAATGAAATAATAATAAATTATTCTGCAATATAATTTAATATTCGTTTTTATTAAGAACTTTTGGTTTCCTATATTATTTCAATGTTAAAGAAAAATGGGACTATTCTATTGGGATAATAAGGACTCTACAGGTTGTAAATTGAAATGTTAGTCAGTGGGCAGTGTCAGTTTTCAACAATCTATAAAGTAATTGT